CAAGGTTGCATTGTCTGTCTTCGATCTGTAACCATTTAATTTAATATAATTTTGTCTACAACCAATAAACTTGTTACAGTATACGATTTAATTCTCAAAAGGAGAATGGCTGTAAAACCATCTTATTATGTTGGTCAGAGCATGTGAAATGTCCAAACTTCAACAGCTAAAGAATATTACCAAAGTGTAACTGGTAACTTTATTATCCTAAAACAGTACCTTATTCCATAAAATAGTACTTTATACATTGCTTTCCCTTTAAAGTTATGTCCACTTCAGACAGTTTATTTTAGACACTCTTAAGTAAGTCTGAAGACTGCATAGACCCAGTGTGAATGTGAGCATCTGCCTCTTTATGTTGTGTCAAATAAAGCACTTGTGTTTGCCTACCTCAGCCAGAGCTCACTGGGATATAAATCTGCAGGTGAGAAGTGAATGAAATAATTATGATCTTCTGGCCCATTTAAAAAACATAATTGGAAGCAGCACATCCCAGACAACATGCAGGTTCACCTCACCCTGTCTTTGATTAGCATCCTGCAGCTAACAGCAGGATTTCTAAAAGCCTGTCTGTTGGATCCCTTATAGATTATCCATGACTATCCATCCCCTCTAATATTGGGAGCATTGGGCAAAACTCAAGCTGGCCTGGAGCTGTGCTGAGAGAGATGGATTAAAGGTGGATTGATGTGTTACCAGGATTTGTTGCGGTTTCAGCTGTTTTTGTTGTCCGCAGTGCTTGCACAGTCCTGCCAAGTGGGTGTATGCCTGGAGCCAAAAAAAGAGCAGTACACAGTGGTTTTTATAAGCCTTTTCACTCACGTCACAAAGGATGTTTAATGTTAACAGAAGTGTGCTGTAAACACATGTAAACACACCCAACAGTAGGACGTTTAAACAGGTGAGACCAAAACAACCAGAAGTAAGGATAACTATTTTTTAAATGTATTTACTTGTATATAGACTCTTCTTGCACTATTTCTATTTTATTCGTATTTACTTGCACATCTCAAAACATTCTCTTGCACTATTTTTCTGTTTTATTTGTTCTATGTCCTATATATATTCATGTTGCACTGTTGGAGGAGCCTGTGACCTAAGTTTTTCATTGCCATATCTACAGTGTAGCTACTGTGCACATGACAATAAAGCCTTGAATCTTGAATTGAATTACAGTAAGTCCTAAATTGTCCTTTGAAAACTACCGTACTTTTACACTAAAACGTGGCTGTTTATTTAATGGTAGCACAGTAACATGAATCACAACACAACATATTCCTTGCAAATATAATTCATCCAGTTTCATTAACAAAACATTGATCTAGTTTAACTCTTACCCATGAATCGTTGTGCAATCACGTAAGCTAGCTAAGATATGATAAACATGTGACACTGATTCACAGACTTACATTATTTAACATCACTCCAAGTTTGTTCATTTTGCCATGTTTCGTTCTTGTTTACTCATGTTATGTTGAGATTGTTATGAGGTTTATTTATATGTTTCATGTTGAGTGTATAGTCATGTTTACATTAAAGGGGACCTATCATGCAAAATGCACTTTTGTACGTCTTTTATACATGAATATGTGTCCCCGGTGTTCCAGGGAACTCACCAAGTGTCAGAAAACACAACCCTCTCTATTTTCCTCTATACCCAAATCTCTAAAAAAGAGGCTGCAACGGATCTGATAAAAACTGATCCAGATTTGAACACTGTCCTGACGTCAGGACGGTGGCGCTACGGCTATTGGGCCAACTCTCCACCTATCAGGGGAATGTGGGGTTGGGCCACGGCCGGCCATTGCCGCTCGAAAGCGCTGGAGACGCTGTAGTACATATGTCAGGCCTGTAAGTGGCGCTGTAGTCTGCCACAAAAGCAGCGAAGAAGACTTCCCGCCCATAGTTACCATGGTTACCCTTCTGTTTATTCTCCGCTGTGGCTTTTTTTCTCCCTCCCCGAGGCAAGCGTTTGCTCCCGCTGCAAAACGTCGAGGCAAGCACTGTAATTCTCTCCGGTTAGTCCACCAGCAGATGACAAACACCCACCTCTCCGCCTCTTCCAAGGAACGAGGGGACCGTGCGGCAGAGTTTCAGTTTCAGTTACTTTCGCCGGTCAAGATGTCCGTTAAAGTTTAAATCTTCCGGACAAAATTAGAAAAGTGCCGGTCAAAGGTCTTCTTTGTTATTTATTGAGCTTTAAAACAAATGAATAACGACTCTATATAATAAAACACGGAGGACGGAGATCTCTTTTTCTCCCCCTCTTCTGTTTTTTAAACCCAAATGTTTTCCTCAACCTAATTAAGTAGTTTAGTTTGAATTCACAAGGTTAGTATCGAAGCATTGTGCATGTGATTGTGCACCTCACTTTTCTCCAAGGTCTGGTCATTGTCTCTGTTCACCACAACATGCAGACAATAGAGAGGCAACATTATTAAAGACTTGCATTTAAGTTGTAAAATGTAGTTTCTAACATGTCATTTTAATTTGTATGGGTTTATATGGCATGGTTCACAGATCACAACCAATTACAACATTCATGGCTTTTAAATTGTATGTCCTTGAGGAAGAAATGCTATTAATAACACAGGTGTCAAACTTTATGGCCCATAAAGCAGATGCCTCACATGCTACAGTATGTTTTATTGTCGAGATGTCAAAATCTGGATTCCTCTGTTATTTTTTATACGGCAGGCAGTTTTTATGTGTCATGGATTATTAGTGTTAAAGACCAATAAAGTAAGCAACTATTTAAGTGAATTTATAAATGCGAAATGTCAACAATTGAAGTGGAGATTGTGGAGAAACGCAATGATGCAGATTCATACAAAGCAGTGAACTGAATGATGTGATGAGTGTGAATATGATGTAACACATATGGGAATGCATCTGTAACTGAACAGAGGATTTTGAGATATATAAATCTCAACCACTGGAGGATGTTTACCAAGACCTATCTAGATCAGAAGTTATGAAGAGATATAAAAATGGCTGGATTAACCTGCTTCGGGGACTTGGGGCAAAACAGCTGGGCCTCTTTTAGTATCTGTCTTTTTAGCGACTAAATGTTCTTTGGCCTGTTCGACAGTTTTTTTAACTTACCCTCTGCTGTTTGGGGTTGGGCAGGGAGAGTATATATTTGTTCGTATCTTATTTGATGAGCTAAACTGCACCAGCTTCCATCACTGCTTCACCTGGAGGATCTATCTATCTATCGATCTATCTATCTATCTATCTATCTATCTATCTATCTATCTATCTATCTATCTATCTATCTATCTATCTATCTATCGAAAATTAGTTGATGTTGCTGCGGTAAATTATGCTGAAAAGTAAAGTTGTGGTGTTGTTTAAAGTCTGTTGATTTAATTGATTTGCTACTACAAGCTATCACTTTCCTATATAAGCTAGTCATGTGTCAATGAAGGTCCAAAAATAACCTAATTTCTGCAGGTAAATTAGTTCTGTCTTGAGGCTCCAGAGGGATATGCGAGAAATGTGACCTTCAGCATAACCCTCACCTGGAAGAAAAAAACCGATATATGTGATTGCTATGCTGCATTGATTTTCATTCATTCACAGCTTAAGGTTTGGAGAGAATCCTGCTGTGTCCTTCACTGAGATAGATTTCCAGTAGTTGAATGGACATTTACTCACCTTACACCTTTTTAAAGAGACTTTATCCACAGCCTGCAGCCAACATCAGAACAAGTGGCTTGCTTTGCTCACTCAGTGTCAGGAGGTCGTTGATAGCTAGGAAATTACAATGACGGACTAACAGTTAGCTCAATTCAATAGCTACTCTCATCACCTAGCTGCAGATAGTTCTACTGATTTACCAGGAACCTGAATATAGCATAAAGCCTGCAGGTGCTTTCCTGGTATTGGACCAGCTAACACACATTACACCTGGAGTTTTGTAGATCTGGTGCCCTTGTTCAGTTGCCCTTCGTCCGCCTGTTAATCCAGCCTTGGCGTTAGGCATATTAGATATAATTAAAATGATATTGTCTTACAGTAGAGCGCTCGTAGTGACCTTGTATGTCTTATCGGCTTATGGTAATTTGACTGTAGGTCTATCGCATGTTTATAGTGTATATTATAGCTTCTTTGCTAGCATAGGCCTGCTTTTGTAATGGACCTGGCAGTGATTAATTAAATCAGCAGCAGTAACCCCTCATCATCCCTGATTAATGATATCAAACCCAGCTTGCCTTTTCAAAATAAAACCCCGCTCATTCTCCAGACACAATGGGGAACTGATACCTGCACATTACTGCTTTTCATGGTTTCATTATTGGTGTTTACCACAACAGTGGGTCACTCATTGCGAACGGTCCTTTGTGTTAATAAATGCCATCATCTCTGTATGCAAAGGTGAGGGGGGTTCAGGCTCTGTGTTGGACCCAGTGATGAAATCAAAGGGATTGTGTTCCTGATGACACTGACTGCAAGACATAGGCTATCAGCTCTTATGTGGTGCTCCCTTTGAATATTTCAGAGGGATCTTGCCTAGAAATAAAAAATATGTTGGAGAAAAAACACATCAAATACAACATTGAATATAGTATTTGTAATTTTGTATAATATTTGACTGTACTCAGTGTAAATATTGTCTTTATTTGTTGCTACGTATCTTCTTTCTGTGTCTTTGAATGCACCATACTGTGTACCAAAGCAAATTCCTTGTATGTGTAAACCTACATCTGATCATACTGTTGTGTTGCCTCATTCATGTTGCTGACAAATCCACTGACACGTGAACGCAGCTCCTGTTGAAACAATGCTGCGTTTTGTCACCTTGTTGGCATTTCCCCAGCGTGTTTATTGAGATTTCTACTTGTTGACAGAGAAGGATATTTTGAGACAGCGCTGTTTGTCAGACTCTTTACACATTCCCTTTGAATACTCGGACATGCGTCCTCCTCCCTCCTCCTGCCTCCCTCTCTGCATCTGACAGTGTCCCTCCCTCTTTCTCTCTCCTCCTCCTTCTCCTCTCATTAGGGCTTTTCACCGGCAAAACACCGACACACTCCCTCTTCCTGTAACCGGGCAATAAACACGGATCGGCGGCAGCAGCAGGATTGAGCCCCGGTGCGCACCATCCATGGTCCTCCCCTTGATGTGGGTCTGACAGGAGGGTATGTTGAAATATTCGTATTTTCCTCCTCTTGCTGGTTTCCTCCTGGCGTTATTAGCCCAGCATTGGTTGTGTTAAGCGATGTGTTGAATGTCTCTACGAGATATTTTCTGCGTAATTCGTGAATGGTTACGATTTCCGCTGCAGTGAAAATGCATTTATTGAAGCTGTTCATTTTATAATGCGCACGGACTTTGTCCGCGTGCCTTACGTCCTCTACTGGGAATGAATAATATTGTGGGAATGAAGCAAGTTGTTGCGTCGTTTTGTGCCCATTGGCCCAGGCAGTGTTGACAGAACCTTGCAACCAGGCAGTAAACCCCCCCAGCCACTTCATAGATGATGATGCTCACACACAGCATGGCGGTTTTTTGAATTTGCATTTTGGAATATTTGTGTTTTTTAAAGTTGCTCGTTCAGAGATCAGCTGTTGTGTGCTTGTTTCAGCTTGTCAGGGCAAACTGGATCTGCTGTTGGCTTAGTCAGTCCAACACACCCATCACTAATTATACAACAGCCACATTGACAGACAGACACACACACCCACACACACCCACACACACACACACACACACACACACACACACACACACACACACACACACACACACACACACACACACACACACACACACACACACACACACACACAGAGGACTTGCACAATGTCACAGCCTCTCATCAACACGTTGCCCACACAAGTGTTGCTTGGGAGTGGATTCTTTTTTGCTCCCTGTGTAACACTTAGTAAGTGATGTATGAGTGTGTGTAAAATACAGGCTGGGAGATATTTGGCTGCTCTGTGTGTGTTTGCCTGCATGCTTGGGCAGGTCCATGTATGGAAATAGCCTCACCTTTGGCCCTTTGGCTTTAACTGCTTTTTTGGAATTACATACAGTATTTAGGAGACATTTTTCAGCTGTGCACGAGTTTGCATCACCTTCCAGATGCTTTTCATAGACTCTGTGTGGGCACCTCCAGCTAGCTTCTCAAACTGCATTCATCTCCTTCGGCGTAAGGCTTTGGGAAGAACATACGTGCATGTACGTGTCTGTTTTACATGCTGGCTTCATCAGCTTCATTTCTGGCTTGTTTATGACTGTATGCTCAAAGTTCTCTTGTCGTTGCAGTGATTCACAATTCTAAATGTATTGAATGTTCAATACTGTCATTGACGGCTGATTGCTCATTTCTATTAGGGTATCTAGCTGGTATGGGTGATCAACAACTTGCTTCAGTAGTCAAAAGCAATTCTGTCAAGCAGCTAGGCTAAAAACAAGCCTGACTGGAGGCTACATTTTGGGCTTGGTCATGTCTCAGAAACTGACATCCATAGAAACGTTTGGTCTCGACAAAGCTTTATGATTTTACATGTGTGTTCAGCAGATTTTAGGATTTTTGAAGCTGAAATGCAATCACCATGAGTAAAAAGCTAACGTTTGGCTACAAACAAACCCCATCCCAGTTTGCACGGCTGCGCATCACCACCACTAAGCTAAAGGCAGAGTCATGTCGGCGTAATGACGTTTAGTATTCATTCAGTTACTTGTTAGCAAACGCCGCTTTTAAGACTCAGCAAAGCTTCAGACATTTACGAGTGGGGGTGTTTACTGACATATGACATGGATAAAACAAATACCCTATTTTAGGCATCTAAGCACAAACGCACTAAAACAAAGTTGACTTCAAGACAAGAGAACCAAAAGTGGTAAAATGCTGACTCATTTCTGGGTTTGAGGACCAATTCCTGCTCCACAATATAAGATGTTTTCAATAGCAGCTCTCATGATTGGCCAAACAAAACTATACTCCTTACTCTGTTGGTTTGTCATGTCCTTTTCATTTACTCGACTCAGATAAAGTGTGTTTCAGTTCCCCTGCAGTGTTATCCTACAGGTGGGCTTTTCACACTCTCCTTGCAGACTGCACACAGCATCCCTGGCACTACCATCGGACACAATTCTCTCCTTGCTGTGTCAGCCTTGCCTCCTCACCTCTCACTGTGTCACCTGATGCTTCTTCCCCCCCCCCCCCTCCTCCATTACCTACTCTCAGCAGCAGTTTCTCCACTGTTTGCTACATCATCGTATAGTTCACATCCAATCCAACTCAGAGATTGCCTTTTTTTATTTTCGCCGTGGTGGATATGTGCACAAAGTCTCGCTACTGGTGTGTGCATGTCAGTGTCGAGCTCTGGGATTTCACAGCACAGCATGCTGCCTCCCACCATTTGCAAATCAAATGAGCGTATGAGGCATCCAGTCAGGCCGAAGCCCTCCTCTCCTCTGCGTCTCATTGGACGCTCTCACCTCGCACTTGAAAGTTAACTCAACCATTTCTTATTGACATCTTGGTTGGAAAAGGGGGACCGTTAGGCGCTCAGTGTCACAGAGGAAGATTGTGTTTTTCTTTTGGTGGCCATCTTACCTGAGTCATTGTTGTACTGTAGCTCTTGGAACCTGCAGGGACTGCTGCATAATTGTGTGGGGTCACCCTGATGTTACTGATGATGATGCAGCAGCGGTGTGTTTGTGTGTGTGTGTGTGTGTGTGTGTGTGTGTTTCCTGCGCTTGTCATTGCTTTTGACCCTGCTGAATGTACTTTGACTCGCCATGTTTTTGTAGCCTGGTGATTGTTGTCTATCCTGCCACACACATGCGTTTGTAATGCTATACTTGTGAGGTACTTGTTGACATCATGCTTTTCCTATTTCCTAGCTTTCACCATAACATCACCACTAACATCAAACCACAACCCTGAGGTTTTCATCTTTAGGATTGTCAGTACATCAACTCCCACTTTTCATACTATTTATATTCATGGCAATAGCTGTGTTTTATTGTTTGCATTCAGGCTTTGTATACTCTATATATAGTTGTTTTCACGCATAATGGCGGCCGCCGCATTCTAACTGCATACACACACTCACAAGGGATTCACAGAAAACAATGCATGCATGTTCTAGACGTGGTATGAAAGACAAAAGCTGGTGCATGTTTATTTTGGAACACATTTTTCATCACATACATTCAGTGTTACATTTTGAAAGCAAATATTATTTTTGGTTTCTATCATATGTCAGCCTTATCCTTTTGTTTTAAGTAGAGTCTGTGCATTTCACTTTTATCTCAGTAAAAGAAAAACAGTTGTATGCTTTTAATGTTAAAAAAGCTCTTTATTTTTCTCATACTGCCTGTGCTGCAGCACCTCTTTTCACCCTCTGTCTGAAACCAGAGCCCAGTCTGCTCTGATTGGTTAACTGGTCGGCTCTGTTGTGATTAGTCAACTGCTTACAGATGTCCTGCCCCTTAATCTATCACGTACAATGTGTTTTATTAGCCAATAGAAGCGTCAGTGTTACATAGTGATGTCGCCATGTTCCTGAAGTAAATAAAGAAGTCCAATGGAGGCGTTTCAGGCAGGGGGGGCGGTGGTGTATGTGGGAGAGAAACTCTTTAGATGTTGGCCTATCCATGCACAAAGACCTATGTAACGGAGGAAAGGAAAACCTGAAAAACCCTCATTTTACCTTTTTAATCAGATTTACTGCGAAGATGGAGGACTTGTGAGAGATGTCTCAAAATAAAGACCGGTCGAAATTGGTGCATCCAAGGCTTAGAAATCCTTACTTTCAGTTGCTCTCAGTGCCATCTGAATGACATCTTCTCCATGCCCCAAGTTTATAACGCTACTCAAAGTCTCAAGCCTGATTAATAATTAAAACTTTATATACACAAGTCAGTCATTGTTTACCCACTTTGTGTAACTTATACGTGATACTTGATGACTGTGTTATTGATTGTCGGCTATAATAATCGCAGTCCTACAGCGCACCGCAGCTGTGTGTTTACCTGAAATGCCTAATTTGGAAGCAAAATCTCAGTTTTTTAAAATGACTAATTACTGTAAAAGAGAATAACACAGCATTATCGCAGCTGAATCCAACAAAGGTATAATCACAGTGTGCTTTTTATTATACTGGAATACAATTTAGCCTAATCAGGATGCTTTATCCGCTGCAGGCCTACAGCATCATTTTGGTCTTTATTGTGTGTTTCAGCAACATTTACACAATAATGGCAGCAATCACATCCCCATTTCCTCCTTCCTTAGAGGTTCTCCTTCCACATTGCAGTCCTGTTTTCTGATCAGGGCTTTATTTTTAGCTTTGGTTTTTACTCACACAGCTTTGGGCCGATTTATTGCCTTCCTCCGATTGCATCATTCTGTCTGCAGTCGGGTGTAAGAAGGGGAGGAAGAGGAGCTGTTCCATGCCATGAAGCGGGTTTATTTCACCATTCTGTTTCCCTTCAGTCATATGGCTCCTCACGGTTGATGGGAAAGCATCACTTTGCCCTTCTGAAGGGGAGGCAGGGAGCTTTACCCCGAGCAGGCGCAGCTCAGCCCCATGATTACAGTGAGTCAGCAGGTTCTGCATCGCTTTTTTTCGACTTCCTTTGCATACCTTCCCTCGCCTCCCTCTCCGCTGCTGTCGTCTTTGAACAAATCCCCTGCCTCTCAAGGATGAGACTCATCATGTTGTTGTCTGGCTTTGATCTGGTGCAACGATGCCTGTAATGCTCCTCATGTTCTGCCTCACGACAGAAAAGCAGAATTTATATTTCAGGCAATTTTTAGGGGGGGAAATGTTACACTTCTTTTAGGACTGTTTACTTCTTCGTGGCCTGCCATGGAAACTCTTTACTCCTGATACTTCGGCCTCATTATACAAACCAAGCCAGCGGCCATTGTTTCATTTTGGCCACCTCACACTTGGCAATAATTAATTGGAGCTTTTGAATTCAACAGTTGTGCAGAAAGGCTAATTACGTAGTTGCTCTGTCCGTTTCCCCAGTGTGATAAACATGGGAGACAGCTTGTGAATTTAGGAAAAAAGGTCCACTCTTAGTGCAAACTATTTATAAGAACATAAAACAATACCCAAAAGACGATTAGGAAGGATTAGCTTTGCAAAAAAGTAACAATTGGAACAATACCATG